TTTGTCAGTTTCATTTTAAGCGTAATATCTCTATGAATAGGTGTTCGATTTTATCACAAAATATATCATATGATAGCTCTAGTTTAGGCGAATTTAATAAAAAAAAAAGTTTGTACAATTTAGATCACTCATTGTTCCACAATTAGCATTTAAATTTTAGCAATTATTTTCGAATTTTATCATTCCACAAATACTTTTGCTAGGGGAGTGTAATTTTCAATATTCTCTATAAAATAAATAAGTGAGTAATTAATAATATAATAATATCTAAATATTAAGCATAATATTTAAATATTTTTACCTTAGTGATGCCATAGAATTTAAGAATATTATCATGAATTTCCAATTTTTGATATCTTTTAATCTTTTTTTTTCAATTTAAAATAGTGAAAATAGAAAATGTTAACAGCAAATTCAAAGTTATAAAATAATTATTTAATTCAACTCACTTCATTTATTAAATTGTCCAATGTAAATTTATCATTTAGGTAGAAGTTTTTAAGAGCAACGGTTTTTTGAGAAATTTTAAAAATGGCTTTAAAAATATTAGCAGTAATCAATTTTACATTCTGAAATTCGGAGTATTTAAAAAATGGGATATTTTCTTTTTTAATGGCATCTTTAATAATAAAATTATCCATCCAGGTTTCACATTCTTTTTCATTTGTCTTTCTTTGGGACATGATGATTAACAATTTAAAATTAAAATGAATGAATTATGGATTTATATATATTGCTGGTCAAACATTGCAACACATTGTTAGTTACATTTTTGTGTATTACTTTCCGGTAACTTGAAATTTTCTAAAATTTTTTTGGGAACTTCCACCAATTTAAAATAATACAGAAATGAGCAACGATTTTCCATATCTCACGAAATATCTCGAATTTTATTATCTTGGTCTGGGCCAATAATTTTGTTGTGAATGTAAATTTATACATGAATAATGGATAATCAAATGTAGCTTGAGCTGATGAAATCAAATCCATTTTGAATGCGTAAAGTTTTAACTTGAGTATCTATGCATGATATAAAAGTTCATACTATAAGTGAACAAAAAACGCCTGATATTTACTCAGAATGCTGCAATCAAAGATATGATTGTTGATTGATAAATGGACAAGTGGAAATGAAACGATAAATAAATTTATTCAAGATTCCAGATTGGAATTTTAAGGCAATAGAATGAATACCTTACAATGGATTTCAAGAAATTGAACACAAGACTATTTATTATGAAAGTGAATCGATGGATTGGAGATTTTAGAAATCAGCAAATGGGAAAGAGAAGGTCGACAAGTTATAATAAAATAATTTGAAGGTATTTGAGATGAAGATAAAGCAATATTTTTAATTAACATGCATAAAGTATTAATTATTATTTAAAAAATAGATTATTTAGATGTAATTCGCGAGGTTACGCTATTACAACCAGATTTTATGGGCTTTACAAATGATCCAGAAATTGACAAAAATAGATGAAAATTAAATTACTTAAGCATTTAATTTTATCGATATTTGATAATTCTTCATGACTTTCATCCTAGAAATATTTTATCATATGATTTTATGGGTTAAGTTAATTATTATACGTAAGTCAATCATCAAAAAAAATAAGCTTTTGGAGTATTACCATATATAGTGTTAGATGGCTGATTTTTTAAAACTCCACACAAATGATTATGTAATGTTGGAGAAAATCGACATTTATTTCTATAAATAATAGAAATGAGCTTATATAAAAATGAAAGGCTTTCTTCAAAAGAAAGCATAGTAAACATTCAATTTATAATAAAAATTGCATGACAACGAAAAAGTATCATAACGAATTTTAAAAATTAGTCATATTAAATAAGATTACAATTTAATGAAGGTACAGTAATTGTTCAAATTAATTTTAATAATTAGCGAAATATATAATTAATTAACGATCTAACTTTATTTTAAACAATAAATAATACTGATATAGCCGAGATCATTAAGCGTCAGGTAACAATTAATTATATAATGTCAAATTTTATTCATTATTAAATCTGAAAGTTCAGGTAAACTTTCTAAGGCACAAATAAATAAATATATTAATTTATTATAATCTTAATTAATCTAATCTTAAAAATGGATTGAAAATTACAAGCGAAAAAGGCATATATCCTAATTCTCTGTAAACATAATAGGTAATTCTTGATTAATTAACAATAAATTTTGTTCTTTATGATATTCTAATCATTAGATAAATTAGATAAAGAGAAAGATGGATGATGAGTAAGTAATTGATTATAATTTGTTTATTTATATTCTTCGCTTTTTGAATTTTTTCTTATTTAATATAATTAAATTAATTATTATTAATACAGATAATATTTGTATTTCTAATTATAAGATTTACAACTGAAAACTAGAAATAAAATTCCCCTATCCTGAATTCTTGTTTAATCTATTAGATTAAAATTTACTGAATAGAAACGAAGAAAAATTAATGTTTCTTTTTGACTGATGATAGCCCAGAACAATGAATTACAATCTTGATAATCATTAACCGTTTTTGGACGCCGATAAGTTTTGCCAATAATATTACATCAGAATCTGAAACTATAGTTAAATTCATGATTGAAATATTATTACAAATTAATGTTAATGATTCAAATAATGGTCGAAATAGTGTTACATCGTCACAAAGTGTAATACTTTTTAATTTCTCAAATACTTTTGGGGCACCAGGTAAATCGAGAATTGATCCAATTAAATCATTATAATCACCTATCCAAGGGGATCCTAGAAATTCAAAACAATCCAAAAATGTACAACTATTTATTATTAATTTACATATCTCACGAAATAATATTCTTGATTTGATTTGTTATTGTTATTATTATTATTATTATTATTTTGATTCGGGGCAATAATTTGTTTAGGATTAATACAAAACCAATTAAATTATCAATTATAAATTTATGGATAAATGAAAGTGGTGTCAGGTGGTGATGATGATAAATTAAATCCATTTTGAATAAGTAAAGTTCTAGCTTGAGTATTCATGCATAATATATAAGTTTGAATACATAATGCTTTCTTTTCCATATTTGTCCAATATTCTTGACCCAAAAATGATTCCCAAAGTATAGGTATTAGTAACTTTACACCAGATTCGATTAACTAATAATGATGAATATAAATCTTGAGTTGATGTTGATTTAACATTATTTAAAATTTTAATTAATATTTCTGTAGGAATTTTAGTTGCCATTTTCTTTTCTAAGAAATAAAAATTTTAGAAATAAGAGTTATTTAATAAAAAATTTTACCACACCACATTAAATGGTTTTTATATTGTTATAAAATTTTTATCAATTTATATTATCATTATATAATTGTTTTACGGATTTCCCGTTATGCATAATCTAGATCAGATAATCGGTTGGATGACTCCGTCCCGTGTATCATTTAAATTAAAGTATTAAAATAAAAAAATAATTTTATTATTATAGATAGTATAAATTTTATATTTGGTTTTTTTTGTTATACTCAATTTGAAGTAGTGAGTGGTAGTGGTTCTGATTCTTTTTTTTCAATTTTTCATATTCTCATAACAGTAAATATATTGTTTGATTTATTTTTAGGATGTTCGAATTTACTATCTTAATCAAATAATTTTGTCTTTGAATTATGTGAAGATAAAATCTTATACCATATCTATTACTAATCATTCAAATTAATAAAAATTAAATAATAAATAAATTATACCAATTTAAGCACCTATCTTCCTCTTTTTTTTTACATTTCTTTTGGTTTTTGTCATTTTTTTTATTTTTTATTTTGGCCATTTATAGTCATGTCTAATGATAAAGATGAGAGCTTAGGAATTTTTGGGTTGTTAGAAATTTGATACATCAGATTTCCTATTTCTACCTCTCAATGTGTTTGCCAGAATTGACTTAGCTAGTTCAGTCGATTGGTGAGATTATGATGTTTCTTTCTTTTCTCAAGGTATGCAGACTTTGAACTCAGTGATGGTAACAAATCAAATTGATTTGGGCAACTTTAACTAACTAATAATAATTCACTAAACTGCAGAGGATCACCAGGTGATTTTTGTAGTAATTGGGAGATGATATAATTTAAACTACACCAATTCAGATGTCTTTTTATCAATATTATCTTTAACTGTTAAGTCCAAAGTAATTTTTTGTCATCTGTATCAGATCGATTAGATATATCTCCTGTTATCATCACAACAGACAAAGGTGATTTTGGTAGATCCTCTTCTTCAAGATTTAATGAAATTATTTCTGATGAGAGCACCTGTAAAAATTTAAAAAAAGACATATAATTATATTGTGGCAGAGTAAATTGGTAATCATGTGAATTATCACAGGGGATGATAAATGGTGTTGACCATAATTTACCTTCTAATAAATTTGATAAACTAACAACTAAAGACAGGGAAATATGTATAGCAAACACACAGTAACTAAACTCAATTTACCAATGTTGGAGAGATTTTATACTATAAAGGAAGTGTGAAGGCTTTTATTATTATGGATTGTTTCAAAAGAGGCAGAGGATGAGTTTTTATAAGAATATTCACACATGATAGAAATAATAATTCACACAAAATTATAGATCAAAAATGTCATGAAGACTTTATTAATAAAATTATTATTAAGGAAATGCACATACTTTAAGCTGAGGAGAAACTCAGCCTTTATATACATTATAATTATTGTCAGTGTTCATGTCAGTATCATAGGTCAAATACAAAAGATATGCTATACTGAAAAGGAATTCTGATTTTAGCTAATTTTAATATAGGATATAATAAGATAGTTGATTGTACTAATTTTTAGCTGATCTATAGTATAGAATCCACATTTAGTACAGTGATTCTTTTGTATTTGACTAGTGTATTCAGGTCAATACTATTGTCAGTAATCATGTCAGTACCTTTGCCAATATGCATTTCAATATTATTGCCAGTACAACTGTCAGTAACTTTGTCTATGTTCATGTCAGCATACTACTGACTTGTATTTGAATTGCATGATTATTTGTACAAGCTAAACTAAGTAACAATTTCTAATTTTTACAACTTGACTAAATTGATCTACTTATACTAATAACTATAATACTATGATAATTAATAATACAATAACAAATATAAAGAATATAAGAATAACAAATAATAGTATACAACAATATGAAAGAATAAATAAATAATAAAAAAAATAAGTTAACAAAGGTAACACTAAGATGACTGTACAAGGATGATAATTTGTGTGGCCATTCAAAAGATAACATATGAGGAGGAAAGATGAAGCACAAGGATGAAGGATGACACATAAAAGATGAAAAATAAAGTACAGAGGAATGACAGGTAAAAATTGAATGAAGATGAAAAAGTATAAAAGAAGTGCTTGTTAGAGACAAGATACGAAAGTCTTTAGAGAGTTCTTTCAATAGTCTTTAAGTAGTCTTTTAATTAGACCTTTAATTAGTTTTCAGACATATCTTTTGTGTCATGATATTAAATATTATTTGATACTGTGTTAATACTTTTACTTCACCTTACTCACTGTGTGTAATAGTTTTTGTCTTGCATCTTATGGCATAGTTTTATGTAGTATTTTATTTCTTATTTTATTTCTATTTTATATTATTTTTATCTTGTTGATAACATATGAGATTAACCTGACATGAGGAATCAATATAATTAATCTCTTTGATATTATTAATCAGTTAATCATCATATGTTATCTATTATCTTTTATATTATATTTATATTTATATATTTTATTATTATATTTTATCATATTTTTATTATATGCATGTAACCATCCAGGTTGACCACATAAGATCTAAGATCTTATTTATTAATTATTATATATAGTTATTATGTATTTATAAACATGTATTTTTATATATAAGGCATATTAATTAATAAAGGAAAAGCCAGTTCTAGTTCAATTATTTAATTATAAAAACAAGTCTTGAATAAAATATTTGTTGATATATTATTTTCCTCTAACAAATTTGTAGATTCATTACATTCGGTAGCAGCAGATGTCAAATATTATTAATCCAATCCAACCTTTCTTGCTTGTCTTAAAAACTAGTTATATAGTTTTAACTCAAACTATAATAGTATTTTGCTGTTGGTTATATGAAATATTTTAAGAATATTTTTGTGTGCAGCAATTTGCGAAACAAAATTTTAACAAGTATAAGTTTGGTCATTTCTTTGGTCTAGGCAACAACCAAGAAAACAATCAACCCTCACCTGAAACTTCTGATGAAGACACTCCAAATGACCCAGAGTTTGAACAACTTTTTGCTGCAGCTAAATTACAACTTCAATAAGAAAGGTATCAACATTATTTCTACAAAGCTGAATTAGCAGAGGTTCTCAACCCCAAACCTTTGAACAATATTGTAATTTTCTTGAACAAATTCACCTCATAGATGATGAACTCGAGCAACTACATATATAAGTAACCAGAGAACTTGAACTCCATCATATACAAGAATCTCCATTACAGATAACTATCTTGTCACAATTATCACCATCGTCTACATCATCTGGAACTATAACCTTTCAAGAATCTCAGGAACCTCTCAAAGTAGTTTGAATAGTTACAAAACAATGTAATTATAAATGCTTGATAATTTATGTGAAAATAAATTTTTATTTTTATCTAATTTTTTGCAATTCACTTTGAATATTTTGAATATGAATTTATTATAATTAAAACAAATTCAACGTTCTAATTATAAAATCGCATATCACATCGCACGAAAATAAAAATCACATTTATAGCAATTCAATTTTATAAAACAAAAGGTGATCGTCAAGGTCAAAAGGCACGCAACACGAAGATCATTTCTTTTTTTTCTCAGAAAGGACCGATTTTCCTCATAAAGCCCCGTGAAATAACTCATTTATCTAGAATCCATAATTTTTTTTTATTTTCATGGTATAAAAAGGCTATAAACTCAGTAAACTTTTGATTAATCAATATATTAATCAAAAAAAAAATAATATTTTTTTTATTTTTTCTGTTTTCTATCTCTTTATGGATAAAACAAGGACCAGTTCTTTGGATTTTGAATCTGCATTAGTTTTACTAAATGAGCAAAAGATGAAGCAAAAACTAAAGTTGCAAATAAAAATTTTAGAGAGAATATAAAACAAAAGTTGACATTTTCGTGAAAAATTATATGTATTCAATACTGAAAATCCCACTAAAAGTTGTAATAAAAAAATTTGATAGTTTTCGAAAAGATTATGGATACCTGGTTTCATTATCTAAATTATCAGATACAAACAGTTTCAAAAGGAAAGGAAAATTGTTGAATATATCTCAATTATGAAAAAATGATGTGAAAGAATATAATGCTAATTCAATTAAACAAGCAATTGATGCTATTGATCATTATCTTCACATCCATTCTCCTATCTCTTGCATTAATTTACATGACGAATATATTTAATTAATAAAAGGTATCTGACCAAAAAAGGAATATCCCTTTTTTTTACATGAAAAATGTGAGACTTACAAGAACGTGGATTGGGACTGATTAGCTTTATATGCTAATTAACAATCATGGATTAAAATTTTCTCAGACACTTTCAAAAATAATCAACATGCACTTCACCATGACTTTTAAGAGTTTCTGCACTACTTCTTTTATTTGCCCCATCGAATTCATCCCTACGTAATTATGAGAAATCAAGAGAAAAACTCTTACGACTTTTACAACTTTTTCAGAGCTTTATAATCTACACGATTTATAATTCATTAGTAATAAATATAATACTTCATAAATGTAAGTAACAAATTTCGGAAAAATATGAGTTTGATGCAACATGAAACAATAAAAAAAAAAAAGACTCTTCAATAATATGAAATGCATAAGTAAGATCTGATGAAAAAATGTTGAAAAGCTTAGAACATGATAGGAAAATGATGACAATGAATGGTTGAATCCTGTAAACGTCATGAAATATTAGACCAAATAGCGAATACGTATTTTATAATTTTATTTATGTCCGCAGTATGTAACTGTATTATGATTTTTTATTTGTATGTTATACTGGTTCTAGTAAAAATAAATTGCATTTGACATATAAATATCATTTTCTATCGAGATCAGCCTATATGGAATAACTCAGATTTATTAGCGGAGCCTTTGGTAACTAAAGATCTATAAAAATGTTCGCTGTCCATCGGAAATTTTTCTTAGTGTATTACAGTTATTTGTTTTAAAAAATAACAAGGTTAGAATTAAAGTTGTAACTGTAATTAGATTATAACCCAAATATGCCAAAGAATCTCAGATTAAACCATTAAAAATATGAGACTCAGCTTTATTAATATAAAAAAACAACAAAATACACATTATATAAAACAAATTGCTGACCAGAAGTAGCATTACCAGGTGATGCATTATTTCCTCCATTTACATTTGGCTAACAAATTAAAATTTATATGACAAATATCTATGCATATATTAAGGTATCGAAATTATTTGTTATTCTATCCCTTCTCCATATTTTTCTTTCCATTTTTTATTATGATATTTGTATATAAAAAATCCTATGATAACAACAAATAATAAAGTCGTAATTGATCCTCCGATAGAAGCGCCAACAATTAATCCTATATTTGGACTACTTTCTCTACTATTAGTATTACTTTTGTTGTTAATACTGTTGTTGGTAGGATTGTTGTTAGTATTATTTATACTGTTGTCATTAGGATTGTTGTCAGTATTATTTTTGTAGTCAGTGTTTATTCTAGCATGGAAAGAAGCATCTTTTTTGAATAAATCTGAGCCATCATGTATGTGAAGTTTGATACGATAATTTTGATGCCTCAAATAATAGCCTGGATTGTTTACACTTTCAAAGCTATAACCTTGGCCATCCAAACCTTAAAGGATGAAAATATGTAAGAAAAATGTAAAACATTGGAATGCAACATATAAGTGATATTAATTTACCGTCAACTAAATTGAATTGAATGTCATCCATAACATCAGTTGATTGGTTTACTTTGAGAATAAATCCAAGAAAATTATGATGTGAAACATAATACCCAGGGTAATTGAAACTTTCAAGGGATACAATTTGTGGCTCTGTCTGAAGATAATGTGGTTCAAAGGTGCTATCATTTTTATAGAGGGTACTATTATCCGTAGGATCGATCCATAACTCATATTTTTTATGTCTGATAAAATGATTTGGATAGTTAACACTTTCAAAAGAAAAAAAGGTTACGTTTGATATTGTTGAACTTACAAAAGTTATAAATAAAATAAATAAACAAGATTGTTTTAAAGTCAGCATCTATATTAAATGTATGGTCGAATGAAATTTAATAGACTAACCAATTCAACAAAAAGTATTAGTATTTATATTATTGCAGTTTTCAAAATGATTTTTTACATTATTGGACTAATTTTGTATAACAAATAAAAGAATCACATGTGACTATTTAGTGCTAAAAATGAAATTATCGGGTTGTGATTTACAGATGAGTCATAATGTATTTAAAATTTTACGGGTCACATGATTCTGGCGTTTGAGTAACCATAGATACTAATACTATTATACTATATCTAATATAGGATTCTTGGATTAATAATTTTACAGATTCCGAAGTCCGAGAAATTCCCTTTTATATCATTGAAATGCATAACAATAGATTTTTAATTACTAATCATGTTTAAATAATAGAGAATAATATTATTAAAATCTCACGATCACTAAGTAAGCCCAGAAATTGTGCTTATCAGCACATTACTTTTATCAGCATTTAGTTGAGCTATCAAAATCATGAAATAGAATAAATACCTTATGATAGATTTCAAGGTACTAAGGTGGCTATGGTACTTTTTATTATGCTAAGTGGGTTGATGGATACATTAGAAGGTGGATCAACAATAGAAAAGGTGGGGTCAATTTGAAGTGTAGAAAAAGTATGATGGATTAAGTAATTTTTTAAATTTATTTAACATATAATTTATTAATTACAATTTAAAAAATATGCAATTAGCAATTCACTTGAGAGAAAATAGTCATGGTATAGCATCAACTCCACTTTATAGAAGTACAGAACTCATACAATATATGATGGATTTACAATATTGGAAATCTTAGAAATTATTAAAATAATGATTTTAATAATATCGATTGGGATGATAAATTATACTGGCTTATGAACTTTATATTAGATATAGCTCATCATGATACGTACGTTTATATTCATTAGATTTTGGATTGAGTAAATTAATTACAGAAAGCATAAAAAATTCCCCAGATAAAATTATTTCCGGAGTATTACCCTATGGATTTTCTCCATATTACGATGTGACACAAACATGATAAATATTTTACTTTATACAACGGATTTCTGCCAAAAATTCCATTTCGCACACCCCAAATTGATTACACAAATAATTATGAGATGTTGAGTTATTACACATCTATCCACTTTAAAGAATTGCATAATCTGTTGAAAAAAATACTATCGTGATTATAAAATAAAATTTGAAAAGAATCAAAAATTCAAACCAACTTAACAAAAACTAATGATGCTGGTAGAAACTCTCGAATTTCCACAAAGTACACCCTGCCAAAAGTATTGATCACCTGAAAATTTTAAAAAAAATTACTAAAATTAAAATGTTAATTGTGCCCAACGGGGTAACTTATACTACTCAATACTTAATACTTGATTTTTATATTTTATTAAATAACTGTATTTATAATTTTTATAATTATTAAAAATATTGATTTATCATCATAATATATGTACAGTATTTATAATCTATATCCATGTATTAACTCTAATAAAAAATAATTATAATATAAAACTTAGAATAAATCCTTATGTTTTAAGTGTTAAAATCTTCAAACCTTTTGAAATCTATATACTATAAATCCCAAAAGAATTACTATTTCACATGAATACTCTAAAAAATATATAATATTTATTTCTATTACAATTAATTAAAAAAAGAATAAGCAATTTTTAATTAAACTTGAAATTCCAACTGATTCAAAAACCAATTGGGGACTGCTATGAAAAGAAAATTAGATCATCAAGTTTTATTATTCATTGTATTACAACCTACAATAATTAATGAAGATCACCCCAAACCACTAAAAAAATTATGTTTTATGCGACAAAGTCGAATGGAGTCAAACGTTGTTATTGTGTATTCTTTCTTTGCAATTCTTTCCTTGTTATTTTTAGAAAAAGGAAACCATTTATTCTTTATAAGTTTACTTAAATTATAAATATTCGCAAATAATTATTGGTGCTAATAAATGAAATGCAAGAAATAGCCTGAGTTCTTTTTTTTTATGTGAAATGTACAATATTATTTTTTTTAACATAATATCATATTTTCTACTTTACGACTTGACATAATTGATTTATACTAAATTGTTAAATTCCGTTGATTATAATTTCTTCTAATAATTGATTGGCATATGTATTCCTGTTTTCCTTTGCTTTATTCAACCTGCATATAGCTTTTACAATATCTTTCTTAGTCCCGTATCTTTCATAAAAGCATTTCCCAAGCCTGTATTGGCTATTGGTATGATCATTTTCTGCTGCTTTTTTATACCATTCAAATGCTTTCACTTGATCCACATTAATTCCGAAACCATTTTTATAACAATTTCCTATAATATATTGTGACTCATTATGATCTTTTTTGGCTGCCTTCAAGTACCATTTAAATGCTTCTTTTTCATCTTTACCCACGCCTATGCCAATTTCATAACAACCCCCGATATTAAAACATTGCTTAAATATTTCCAGCAAGAACAGATTTTGTATCCCATTGAAATGATTTAGTTCGATCTTTTGTCATTCCTGTTCCATTAAAATAACACGCACTAACATTCAATTGTGCCATAATATTTCCTTTTTCTGCAGATTTCAAATATAATTCAAATGCTTTTTCTTCGTTTTTTTCAACACCAATCCCACAATCATAACAATATGCTGCGGAATTCAAAGCCATAAGAGATCCTTTATCAACAAGTTCATTATAAATCTGAAAAGCTTTTTTTGTATCCTTTTCAACACTTAGACCATCAAAATGCATAAGTGCAAGAGAAATGGTACTAATTTCTTTGTTGATATTGTGCAATTTTCTTAAGGTTAAAGAATTAGAAGAGGAGGTATCAATTATTTTATTTGCTGCTGAATTAAAGAATTTAAAAGCCATTTTATATTCAACAACAGTCCCAATGCCATATTGATCAAAAAAACCTATTAAGCTAGAAAACAAATAATAAGATGGATGCCGAATCATTTCATGTAGAATTTTAACTGGATTCTTTTTGTGTTCTCTATTATAATTTTTGATCATAATTGGTCGAATATCCTCGTATATCAATGAAAATTTCAAACAGATCATTAATGAAATCATTAAATTCTTCAACCAAAGGAGAATCAGGTTTAATTTCAGGTTCTTCATTTTGTCCTAATAAATAAGATTTTATATTTAATAAATTTCTGAAAATTTAAATATATATTAAAAAAAATTAAAAAATGCAACTTACTTATTTAAATTTTCTGATTTGACATCTGTGACAGCTTACATCAGAAATAATGATTTCGGAAAGATTTTTAACAACTTGAAAAATATCTGGTCGTGAGTTTCCATTGTGGTTCCAGCAATCTGTCGAAAATATAACATTAATAATTTATTACGTAAACAATATAATTGGATTTAATAAATTATTTAAATTTACACCATTATATATTTCCTTTTATTTGTGAGGTGTTCCAGGTATATCAATTTTCCTTTTACCTTGAGCAATATTGTTTAACACATCATCATTCGACGAGGATTCTATTTCGAGAAGAGGATTACCACTAGAAATTACCCAAAGAATAATTCCTAGACCAAAAATATCTGAACTCTTATTTTTGCCAATCGAACTGAAGATTTCTAAATATTGAGGATCCATGTATTGTATCGGACAAAGATTATTTGTGAGGAAACTTAAAGATTCCGAAATTATTTTTGCTAACCCAAAAATATTAAATTTAATGATCTCACTATGAACGAGAATATTTTCAGAATTCTAATAAATAATTTTTTTTTTTTTAAAAAAAAAAAAATAAAAATTATTCATTTATGAATTTTATTTTCAAATAAAAATATTTAAAAAGAAATAATTACGAATTTCATATGAATAATGTCATTAGAATGTAAAAACATCAATCCATTTGTAATTTGTCTTGCGAAATTTAATTGTGCATTCCAATCCATTGTTTGGAAATTAGTTTTCAAATATTGACGAAGAGAACCTACATTAACATAATCATATAATCGTTAGTATTCTCTATAAAAAATAAAATAAATTTAAATAAATAAATTTGCCAAAGCTTCCTGTTACCTTTTACTGCTCGAAAAGAGGTTAAACACAATTATTATCTCAAAGAACATAATTGTACAAAAATCACGTTACAAAATTTAAATAAACTTTAACCGATAGGACCAATAAAAATGGTATCACAGAATCCGAAACCCACCAATCAAAAGCCTTTTAAAGGCGACATTAATAGTTTTACTAACAGTAGAGATAATCGTTCCAGATTATAATAAATAATAAAAAAGGCAAAAATAATGATAAAGTAATGGAGCGGCCTTTTTTTTTTTTAAGGAAATTATCACGTTTTGAAAAAAAAAAAGAAATTATTTTTGAAAACATGCGTAATAAATTTTCGCGCAAGGTAGAAATTTATTTTATATTGATTTAATTATAATAGTCAATATATGCATACCTCCTTCTATAGTCATACCTTCGGGTACAATAGAATAGGAATGTAACAATTATATAGGTTTTTTACATAGTATTAATAGGTGACTGTAAAAGAATTGTGAATTATGTCTAAAATAATAATTTTGTGAATTATTTCACGATTTTCATTTTCGTAATTCGAAAAAAATATCACATTAATTAATGTTACTCAATTCCATATGTTTATTTATTATTTTTCTTAATAAAACTAGAATGGCGAGTAACAGATTAATAACTACCACCACTATTTTTAATATACAAATACTATGTGATTCTTTTCATTTTTAAAATTTTTTAAAAAATAAGATCATTAATAACAATATTTTTTTTCTTTTGAAATATATGTCACTATAATTGAAGCAAATAATTGTATTTCTTTTGTTAAGATTAACAAGACTTTTATTATAAAAACTGATATACAAATTATACAAATATAATTATTTGTTATTATTTTTTTATTATATTTCTAATAATAAATTTTCAAGACGCTGGTATTCTTTAACCATTTCCTGATCTATAATGAATGCAGATTTTGAAAGGGTAGGAATTTGAATATTATCCCATGAAGGGCAATGACTTAAAGCCACATAGGCTTGACCAGGTGCAAAAATTTGATCATCTAAATTTATTGAAGTATTATTTAGTGTTAATCCTTGTGTCTTGTGTACTGTTATTGCAAAACAGTTTTGCAAAGGAAACTGAGTATGACTTGTATAGTTTCCATCAACAAAAAAATAATTCACTTGTTTTTTTAATTCAATG